CCTCCATACTTTTTCCATCTTTTCCCAATTTCAAGTGTTTTGAGAAATTGGAAAACTCTAAAACCAGTTCCTTTTTGATTTCAAATTAATAGTCTCAATAGTTAGATTTATGTTGATGCAGCAACTGAAGACTACTTTGAAAGACAAACTCCAATTATTAATTGCAACATTTCCTGTTACACTCCTAGAAAACAGCCAGTAGATAACTGACGCATTAATGTGAACCAGTAGTTCATGTTGCATGTTGAAAATTAATGCATGTATCAATTGGGATAAAATTTTAAAAATTTAAAGTATATACACTAACTCAGCAGTGCCCACTCATTGTCCTGAGAGCTGCATTCCACCTGTGACCACATCTCCTACAGAAAACTTGCGTAAACATGCATGCAGTCATTTTTGATCTTTTAATTCCTCTATCGAGGGATCAGATGTGAGGCTATAGCAGCTGTTAGAGGTGTGTTTTTGCTGTGATATCAGGCTCAATTCTTCAACATTAATGTACAATACATAGTAGAAGATGCAAGACTGGCCTTTATAAAATAGTGATTTATCTTGGTGACATACATCACTTTAACGCAAAATGTGGTTGGGGTGGTTGTTAAAATAGTAATATTTACTTTTTTTACACCACTCTAATTCCATAAATATGGGTAAAAGCAGTATTTTTGCATAGAAAGTTTTTTTCTAGGGATCTGATCAACATTTACTGTCTTTTTGGAATAACCAACCAAACAACCAACTGAAATTGAAGACTTTTTGAAACCATAATGAATGAAATTTAAGACCTGTATCTCCACAGAAATGTACAAACTTTCTCCATCCAACCGGTGATAAAGTTGTGCTTACCGATGATAGACATAAAAATGCTAGCTAGATAGAGTATATTAGCCGCTAGTTAACAATAGCTTCAACTGACTCAAGTCAGTTATGAGTCAAGGAATATGAGAGCATCTCAAACTTTTGCCTGACTGTAAAGTCCCATGAGAAAAACAAAAATACATGGAATATATGAAATTTAACAGTCCTGTCAAGACTAAATGAAAGACCTGGGAATAACGCATTGAATTCAAACTTAATTTTTAAATTAATTTAAGACATTTTAAGGTCTAAGTTTTAAATACATGAATTTAAGACTTTTTAAGGATGCAGGACTTTTTCCATACAAATGCAGCTCTAGCTGCTGTATTGTTACAATGTTTAAATTGTCTCCAACATATATCTTTTACAGAAAAAAAAAAACCCAAAACAAACAACAGAACAACAAATTTACAGTATTTTTGACTTTAACACAAACACAGCTTTCATATTCAATAACACTCTGCACAGTTCAGTGTAAAAGTGACAGATAAGCCCGAGGCTGCAGGGCGGTGACTATGGAGAGCTCATGAAGGCTTTCTCACCACCGACTCTCTTCCCATCCTCCACCCTGTGGTAAAAAGAGCCATGCTGTCCATCAGGGAAAAGGAACGGCAGACGAGCAGAGCCGGATCTTTTCAGACTGCCAGTGGGGATGCAGGGAACAGCAATCAGATGGGATCGCTGCAAATTCCTACAGCCTCAAGGCCATGAAGTCCCACTGATACACTTGTTATAAATGACTACAACGTTGCTTTCACTAACACAGGCTTTTAGGCACTTCAGGTGGTAAGGTATGCCCTGTGATACTTTCAGTGCTCAAAAATCTTTCTGACTTATTGTGGAGTAAGGCTGTAACAGTTACTGCAAAACTTGTATTTATGCTAAAAAAGCCAGATGATTATGAAGGCAAATAAACTGGAGAGGAGGAAAAAGTGATGAAAAGCTTTATGGAAATACCAATTTCATTTTTGTAGCAGGACTCGGGACCTGACCACACTGACAAAACTACAGACACCTGCTTCAATGCTCAGGGTATCAAAGTGTTTCATTAGCAAAAACTAAATCCCATAAATTCTCTATGGCAGCTTAAAGAGATACAGTGGCCCAGAAGGGCCAGAAAAATGCAAAAGCTACAGCTCAACAACACAAATCACAATGGAAGTTATGTGTTAGCATAACTTCCAACACGGCTTTCTGCTGTTATGGCTTTTAACGTTGCGTTGACTCTTCTTGGTCATCATAAAAGAAAGACAAGAGAAACTAGACTCAACGATGAAGCTGAGCTGACGGTCACTATCAAAGTTGCCAAGATTCCTTTTTGGCATTTCATTAGCTCTACGCTAGTCATTAAATGAACAAAAATCAGCGCTTGAAATATGAATATATATATAATGTATGTGAGCTAAATTGGATTACTGAGATTTAATAACTCTTCTAATTTACCAATATCCATCTGTACAGAAAAACAGATTGATCTGTTTTTCTAATCTGTTTTTCTGTACAGATTTATCTGTACAGAATGCATGTAAGAAGTTAAAACATAAAAGCCCATTTTGTTCACACTTAGTATAACTGGAGGACATTTATAATGCTGTATATGTGGAATATTCAGGAAGCTGCAGGAAACATGAGCTCTGACTGAAATGAAGCTGGAGAAGCTTGTCCTACTTTCTCCAAAGTACAAACGGCTCTTTCTGCTACAGCTCTCAACTCTGGGAGAAAATAGAACAAGGGAACAGATTTGATAACAGTTCCCAATTACCACCACCGAAAAGAAACTGTTTCTGTGAGTGAAGAATGTCTCTCTGCCTCCTCATTATGATTTTGGACAGCATCAGCCTGGTAGTGATGGTGGGACAGGACCCTTTTTTTTCCACTAATGATTTAAGTAGGACTTTATTTCCAAGCCGTGCCAAGTTTTCTCTGGAGATCGGTGGTTCTCATCCGAAAATCTGGCTTGAGTTTGGAACGTTTTCACAGCAGTCTTTATGAACTAATTTTTGTCGGAGGAGGGAAAAACAAAGTCCATATGTTTTTACACAGATTCTGTTTCACATCATGGATTATCTCAAAAAAAGGGGGAAAAATAAATCACAGCAGTCGAGGCATTTCAAATGAGAACTGAGAATCCAAGATTTTAATTGCAGAACTAAAACGTTCTATTATGAGATTGTGGGAGAAGTGGAGCCCGCTGGCTGCACAAGCACCAAGAGGTGAAAACAACACCACTGCTGTTCTGAAAAACAAAGCACAAAACACACAGAAGCAGACAGTAACTGATACCAAAGATGGCTGAAGAGATGGGGAATTTCATCAGCCATCGTTCTCCCTTCCAGGTAAAACACACAACAGGTTGACAGAAAAGGAGTTATGTGTTATAAACATTGGGGAGTTCTACCTTTGGTTAATGAGCCTGTGTTAAATCAAAATATTTATGTTTCACTCAAAAAATTTAAATAGATAAATGTACATATTGATTTATAGAATGTTATAGTTCACTCTCTGATCTCGGATAAGCAGCACAAAAGTTTGTACTATATTATGTGCCATATTTATTCTACTTTAGTCTATTCATCAGCGTAAATATAGTTTAAAAAAACCAACAACAATACTGTCACCTCTAAAGTTGAAATCTAATATTTTTTCACTGCATTAAATAATTGTGACAATATGATCTAATTTATTTGAGAATATTTTACTGACCAATATCTTCCAAATAAAACACTGTAGAAAAATTGGGGGTTGTCCCATCAGACCGCTAGTTCCCTAAACGACCCACACAGAATAAACGTAGCAGAAGAGCATGCAGGGTCAGTGTAACCCCAACTCTAGACCACATGAGGGTTAGTGGAGACTTCACACCAGTTCATCACAAGGTGAAACAACATAAAATTGTACCTACGTCATGTTGTACAGATCAATTTAAAAACACTATTTATTCCAAGGGGCAACATTAAATGTTGTAACATCACAGCTGCCTCAGAGTCATTGTGAAATATATCTGGTAGTAGTCAGTCTACCAGACTCATGCAGCAGCAATAGTAATTGTCCTGATTGTCATGACATGCTAACGGCTCAATTTCTGGGCAGCAGATATCATATTTCAAGGAAGAGATGCTTTGAATTTCCTCTTTCTTTCTGTGCTTGGGGTCAAAGTTCAAGAATTATTTAAACTTTTGAGATACTAATAGCTGCTCCCAGTTGTAATAAAAATACCTGAAAGTAAAAAAGTAATAGAAAAAAATCCTTCCAGGTGCACAGCATCCAAAACCAGAGGGAATAATTGTCCAAACAAGTGATGCCTCAATCAAAACTCGAACCCATAACTTTCGGATTGCAAGACCTCCTCCCGTAGCGTTTTTAAACAAGGCTGTTATAGACTGCTCCCAGCTGCAACATTGGCACTTTGACTCCTACGACATTTTTAACCAGAGTGTCTGGTAATTTGAACCCTTAAATTTGGTCTCAATAGGAGGAAAGCACTTTACATGACAGCTTTGCTGCAATTAGTCTGAGTGGGTGAAAACACAGCAAAACACAGCGTTTCTACAGGGTTCACCAACTCAAGTTTAAGACATTTTAACGTCTATATAAATGGAATTTAAGACCCGTATCGCGACGACAGATTGTACAAAAGAAAATTACAAATAAATCATATAGGTTGGCAACATAAGCTAGCTATTGCCTGACAGAAATGTCCCATGAAGAAAAAACAAATTACTGTCAGAAGAGATTAAAAAGTCTGACTATGACAAAATTTAAGATCTGTGATTCTTACAGCAATCTTTAAAGACAAAAAGAAATTTCAAAAAGCAGAAATTAACACATTTTGAGGCCTTAATTCTTAATACCTTGAAGTACTTTTTCTTTCACCTTTTTAAACTTTAAATTATAACTTTAGTTTATTTCAAGGACAAAACTAGAATTAACTGCAGTGTCACAAGTAAAAACTTTACTGTGACAAATTTATATGACAAAAACCTATTGATAGCGACACAGTGAGGCTTCTGCAGCTGATTGAATGCTCATGCACGGCTCGTTTCCAGAACTAACAACCAAGAAAATGACACGCCAAAACGCAGGTGGACAGGGAGACCTGGACACACATGCATTCTCACATAAAACAGAAGCTAACTCACAGTGCAATGAATCAAGCAGCAGCAGCAGCAGCAGCCATGGCGGCCAGGGAGTCCCAGATGATGGAGCAGAGAGCACTTACAGCTGGAGCCTGTAGATGACAAGAGAGGCACACACACGGCAGTCACTCGAGATGAAGAGATTAAAAGTGTGGAAAGAAAGAAGGAAGACGGAGATGAAGTAGAGAGAGAGTGAGGGGCTTGACGTGAAGCAGATCATAGCTTATTGTCAGACCCAGTCACAGTTCAAGCACGGCGTTGCATAACAGCTATCAGATATCCGACACAAATGTGCAAAAGTTGACACGAACCTGCTTTTTGTGGAAATGTCGGGTCATATTCACGTCACCCTACTCCACTATACACAGTTCGCCGTACTGCAAATCATCCGAGAGGGTTTGACAATAAATCCAGCTTAAAATTTTGATGGATTCATCTTTTTAAGTGCCAAAATATGGAATAAATTTTTTTTAAACACTGTTTTGCATTACTTTCCAATCTTGTGTGATAACAATACGTTGGAGAAGCACCACTGCCTAATCACACAGCTGTCAGATTTGCTGACACATTTAGTATTCAAGGAACGTTGTCTTCACTGTATGCAGAAAGGCCAGAAAACACAAGAGACACTAAATGCAATGCATATTTATGTCGGTTTGATGTGGACGCATAATGCTCTGTATAATGCGTCACTTTGAGCGCCTTGTGTTTTTGCGGCGTGTTCGTTTCTGCCTTGTTCTGCTGCGACTGTGCTGAAAATAAACTAGACAGTAACAGCTTTCCTAATCCAGTTGGTGGGTTTAATGCCAACTGTGAAGAGAAGACATACTTTTTCATGGGCAAACTGAGACTGCTCAGCCCGTCAGCGAATCCTTTCCTCCTTTGTTGTAGGATCAGTTGGAGGTTTTGTATTTGATGCAAAGTAAGTCGCTCCATGTGGGTTGCTATGCAACAAAAGAAAAAAGAAAAACAAGGCAAAACAAAAAGCAAAAAAAGCATCACCCTATTTTTTTTAACGATTCCTTTAATGTTCCACATTAGACGTTTTATTTGCGATGAAAATAACCACAGGCATCCCAAAGGCCTTGGCTTCTCTCTAACAGCCAATTTAGTTTATTTTGAATGAGGAAAATTTACTGTATGAAATAAAAAATGGATAAAAAGTCTTTCAAAGCTGCGTTGTATGAAAGACAAATGTCTAAAACTTCAATGTTGATATCCTCAACTATGGGAGGAGCAAAAGAAAAGGGTCATACATGTTCATATTTCCTCTGGTGGTTCTTGATATGACTTACCCCACTGGGTGCCAACAGCTGGGGGCAACACATGAACTCGGAGACAAAAAAAAAACAACTCATAAAATATTAGTATTTGAAAAACAGGTTTTTTTTAATTGTTTTTTTGCATATCTGAGGGCCCCCAAGAAAATGCAGATGAAGACCATGTTTGATTCTCAGCTTCCAATACTGCCATATCTCATTTTGTGAAGCAAAAGACCTTGTAGAACTTTCTAAACAAGCATAACAATGTATTTAAAGGGGCTGTATTATTTATTTTTCAGACCCATAGCTCTATTTTACAGCACAATTCAATAGGGCTGCACCAATAGCAGATTTCTGGACGATCGCCGATTACTGAGCTTTAAAAAGCCGATTCTGATCATAATTAAGGAACACAACAATTTTCCTCCATTATGCCATTTGCAATAGTTTTTAAAAGGGCTGCACTGAGAAGTAGCTTGCATGCTAACTTGTTTGCCCTCATATGTCAAACTTCTTTCTATGAAATGTTACAAAATGAAACAAATTAGAACACAAAATAGACAGAAAGATGTGGACTATAAACAGTTCCATCCAACTCTTATTCCCTTAATCTACTGTAGTCTTCTTCAGAGGATGCAGTGAATCAATGCAACCCTGTCTGGTTTGCACACCTCAGCAGATTTCCATCAAAGTAAGGATTGTTCACAGGTGCCATTGCACACATGTCCTTGCCTCTGAACTCTAAACCACAATGTCTCCCTCTTGCCTCATAAACAACAGCTGGTTCTAGTAGTCCATCTGCTACCTGTTAAACTCCCCTAAGCAGTACTCGCAGCTCTAGCATACCATTACCTCGACTCCTTCCAGGGATACAATGAGCCATCACTGCTGCTTTTACAGCTGATGGCAATAATAGCAGTTTGAACTGTTAGACGGCATACTCAGACACACGAGTTGGCTTTTAATTCTGTGTCTCTGCATTTTGCTTTTTTTTTATTTTCAAAAGCATAAGAGAGATAGAAATAAATGTACTGATTACTTCTGTGGCTGCTTTTATATCTCCAAATGCATTCAGGAAAATTAAGTTCCCAGCTGGTCTTATTACTCATCCCTTCAGTGTTGGTTTACTGCAAACATGTTTTTATTTGTTAAAAAGCTAAACACAGTCTATCGGGCATAGTGCTATTTAAGTTAGAATATGGTCTTATTAATATTCATTTCAGTCTTGCTTTCCACTGAGATTTAAAAGGCACAAGGTAGAATATGCAGTTAAAAATGTTGACGTGCTGCTCTTCCTGCTCACTTTCTACTGTGCTGTTACACTCTCCAAATGCACTACTACTGCACATTATTGTTACAAAGGACATTCACCTCATCTTAAATTGATGTTTTAGGGTGTATCTATTACTTTTACTGTTTCATTTTGGCTTCTTGTTTGCTCAAATCATAACAGCAAGGTGAAATCTGTGCGTTTGTGTATACCAACTTGTCCTTGCCAGTGGTTATGTCCAACGGTTGTTGGATGAGAAGGAGGGTACAGAACCCTAACAGAGCTACAAACTCCACCATGAAGTTACATTCTTCACCTAATCTGACCAAATTTATATCTTCAAACTACACACTCAGAAATCAAACTTTTGTGGCTTTTTTCCAGTCTCCAGGTTTTGCTGAGTTTTGACCTGCGTCTATCAATTTCAGCGGATTCCAATTTGTCTTAAGGAGGTAAATAATAGCATGCATAGAAGAAAAGAGTATCTTCCCGTCTAAGCAGTTAGGCTCTACAAATGATCAAATGTATCCCTTAATTTCAACTTTGTCTCCAAACAATTGCAAAAACAACTCTGACACTTTGTCCTCCAATACAGCTTTCTAAAAGGAGTGTTGTTCATCACTTGGTAGGTTGGATTCACTAATCACAACAGTAGATATCTGGCATCCATAAACACAAACAGTGTCATTGAAAGGTTTTGTGAACAAAACATCAGAATCACTTGACAGTCATTTAGCCAGGTCAAGAAAAAGCCAGGCAACTAAGCTAACCTAATACTGGAAATTAAAGTTACAGAATTTTAAGCACAATGCTATCTTTGTTTAAATGTCAATTGATGGAATTTGATTACTTTAGATAAATGTTCTATTTACAACATCGTTTCCCCTCATCAGTCAGATAATTTGAACAATCTCTAGGCCATTTGAATAGAAAAAACGTTTTTCTAATTAAAGGTAGTTTCTGAACTGAATCATGACCCTAAAAATTGCAATCAAAAAATATCCGTCTCTACAAGACAGGCTTTTCAATTTCATTTCAAATCTAATAGTTTTGACCCACTACTGGCTAAACCACAAAAAATACATCAAGGTAATTGTTGAACATTAAAACTTCAGTTGTTACAATTAATACTATAAGTCATATGAGTTTGTTTGTGTGTTATGATACTCTAATTCTAATTTCAAGTTCAACAATTGGTCAAACTACAAAATTGTTGCAAAGAGATCCACCAAATGACCGTCTTTTGCTTGAAGGCAGTCTACATCACATAACACCAAACCAGCCTTTCTTACTCAATGGTCCATAAGCTGTACAGTGCAAGCCAGTGAACTCAGTTGGTTCCAAAAATATCCTACAGGCAACACACACTTTAAAGTTCCAAAATGCAGTTTGCCTCTCAAAGCTTGACGTTTATGATCTAGATAATGTCAGAGATTACAGAGTAAGCCTGTCATGAAAGCCTGTGTTTTTTTTTTTAAACATGGTGTGTTCAATATAGTTGACGACTGTGGTTAAGTTCAACGAGTCACAGGAAGTTTTTACACAACAACTTGGCTTGGTGGAGCACCACAGACAAATCGTGACTTAAAATCCAGAGCTTAGTGACACGCTTGATGCCACACAAGCAGTCACAATTTAAAGCCATACTTTCAACACACCTCAGTATTTCTGAAAATGGATTTATGAATACCGCTGACCCTATAAAATCTAATAGTTTGTGGCAAGCTTTATTTTTTCATTTTATTTTTTTATTTTTTAAAAATTAAGGATCCCTTTTCAGACTAATCTCTACACTGGTCAGCGCAACAGGAGTTAACTGACAAAGCTTTTTCAGATATAAAAATTTAACTCACAGTCTTTTACTTAATAATAGACTGTGATTAATGAATTGAAATAAAGCTGACTCATCTTATTGCTCAACTCATGATTAATTGATAAGCAGCCATTTTCTTAAAAATTTGACTTTTCTCTTGTATGAAGTGGGTCGTCAGTCTTTTTCCATCACATAAAGGGCTACATTTTTCATAATGTTCGGGGTTTTAAAATAAAATAACGTGAATCTAAAGAAACCTGTCAAGTATTTATATTTAAAAACAGAATAGCATAAAGTGAATTTTGCATCCCACACTGGTCTACAGATTCTTTCTCTTACCTGTTCAGGTATGGTTCTGCCATCTTTGTTTCAGTATCAACTGAATAGACCTCTTCAGGATGGCAGCAATACTATTATAGCAAAAAAGATGGTGCAAGCTGGCATTATTGGATAATTGATTTGAACTAATTTTGACCATGAATTGCAAGTCAATTAATTGTTTGCATTATTTCATAAAAATATGTTGAAAACGCCAGTTATCCATTCATCTGCCAGGGATTTTACAAATGCATTTATAATCAAACTAAACAAGCAGGTCATCTATCAAAAATCTGTCAAAAAGACAACATGTGGATGTTGATCTAGCTCATGTGCAGTTCAGCTCTCTCTAAAAATACTTCAGGAGCAAAGAACACACAAGTGGTCTGCAGCCAGACCTCATATGGATGTGCCTCTTACAAGTAGTTG